TATCCTTGAGATCTCTTCCGCATGACAGATGGCCACGACTCTTTATTAACCCCCACTCCATACCTACCATGTTACTCTAACTTCACAACTGTTCTCATTATTTTTTCTGGGGATTTTATCCAGTCAACAGCCGGTTACCTTTTACGTTTAGGTGGAGCGCATATTTCACCACGCACTTGACACCAACACACCTGCGGACTCTTATGACCTCGGATCACCAGAACACGAAACCCTCCGTGACAACACATGTATGGGAGACAGGAAGAAACAACCATTCTCAAGGCGGAACCCTTCTGACTGATGGGCTGAGTCGGTATGCGCTCTTAGCCACCTCAGTCATGCAGGTCTGCGTACTCTTTATGCAGATACCAAAATAAGATTGCAACGGGTTAACGTAAAGAAGGCTGTGAGAAGGCGTAGAAGTTTCTGGAAGCGAAGACGTGTGACGATGATTTCAATTTTGTGGAGAACATCTAATAATTCATTTAGAGTTAGAAACGTAATAATACAATCGCAAACGATGAAGCATTAACTTCCTTCCTAAATAGAGAGGAAAAACGAGGCTGAAATCCGCGATGACCTGCCGCCATTGGTAAGCAACTGTTAGCGACACGTGGGTCATTGATGAGACACGAGAAAGGGCATTATCTATTATGTGTACATAAAAGTTACGTAATAAAATCATCGAACATATTTAAATTTAGAAGTCATATTGAAACTAACATAATTTTTTCCATTTTCTACACGTGATATAAGACTTTTTGTTGTCAACTTATGAGCTCTATAGCTTGAAAGTCTGGATACAGAAAGTTCTTTGAGTATCATTTCTTTCCTGTCTGGTTTTTATTTCAGTCCGGCGGGATGACCTCCGATAACTCCTTTCAACTTCGTTTCCCCTGCTCTCACCTGCAGAAAATCCCGTTTACAAGGCTTGTTTTCGCCGTGTCACATTCCCACGCTTTTGTCATGGAGAACCAGTCTTACCAAATCACACTCAAAGCTTAGTCTGTACAGCGCCTCACAAAAAACATGAAATATCTTTGACAAGTCGTATCAAAGACAAAGTTTGCAGTACATCTGCTCGCAGCGAAATGTTCGCTTCTACGAAGCTGATGTTCACGAGAATATTAACATTTTTCATTATGTCGTGAATGGATGCAGGTTGTTTAGTGTGAAACTAATTACTTATAAAGTGGTAATAAACAATAACGCAAAATAAATTTGGTTTAGCAAATTCCTGCCTCCAAACCTTCTATTTATTTCTACCATTACATTTGAAATGAAAATCTTAAATTTTGTAATATTTTAAAATTCAAATTTGTATTTTATATCTTAATCTCTATATTCAGGGTTTTATGCATAGTACAGATAAATGAGAAAATTGAGTATACTAAGGTAATTATAATCAAGTTCAGTGAATCTCTAATAATAGAAGTTATTACAGTTCTAAGTTACAGTTGAATTATTCTTAAAACTTATTTTAAAATTTAAAAAAAATAATCTCTCCTTTTTAAAAATATCAAATATAATTTTTACATTCTCGATTTCATTAATACGTTTACGTAAAAAAACTTGTATTGGCGGGCCCTGTAAACGAAAAAGTAGATAAATATTGTTCCTAAATGTAGTAAATTACTTTCTCTAAGATATTGTGTAGTTAGAATTTCCTTTTTGGTCCGAAACATTGACTGCAAAATATTGGCGTCTGTGTCTGTCCCTCAGCCAGCCTCTGATCAATGCTAGCGCCTACACCGTTCAGACGATTTTCTCCGAAAAGGGTTATCTCCGATCGATGAAAAAGGCTTCAAGGACCTGCGAGTCTAAAACAGATATTTTGATTTTTGGAGAAACCTTCCATAAATATTCAACATGGTTTTATTAAAATTTGACCTCTAATAGTGTGAAAACGCTTAAAAATAGGCACAAGTTTAATTTTCGTTAAAAATCTGTGATTTTTCAAAAATTACGAAGGTTGAAACTTTTTTCCTCGTCTTTCTACAAGTAAAATATAGAAACGAAAGTTGTTTTAATGCTCGAACCACTTTTCGCGAATTATGTATTTTGAAAAATTACGAAAATCTTAACATTTCTAAACTATAGTATTGATAATAATGAGTTCTTTTGTGAAAAGGAATCTATTCAAAAAACATTTTAAATAAGGTCATATTCAATTTTTTATAGAAACGAACAGTTTGTACGTAATTCTAGCTTAAAGTATTTTCTGAAAAATATTTAATTTTTTAAAAAATATTTTTCCTCGGATTGAGTATAGGACAAAAAAATGGCGCAAGTTTTATTTTCGTTGAATTGTCTGAATTTTGGAAAGTTGCATGTTAGAAGTAATACGAGGTACCACTTGTTTTTTAATTACCAGGAAAACTGACTCTGACTTTACGTGCTGCATCGGTAACGTGCTTGGCGTGTTGACGGGAAGGAAACAAATTTCTGGTTGGAAACCATTTACAGGTTCATATAGTTCTATAACATTGCGTAGGCGTTACAAAAAATCCTAGAAAATATGTGTTGTTGCAGCACCACTAGTTCAAATCTAAACGAGCCATAAAGGAATACGAGGATTTTTATTTTCGTGTCCTTAGTGGTGGAGTTGGCGTTGGACTCGGTGTTGGCGGCGACCTTAAGGGCCGTGTTCACCTGTTTCGAAACGCGGCGCGGTGCCCGCCGAGGCCCTGGCTAGCGCGGGCTTCTTCCGCGCTGCGATGCGCGACGCAAACTTTGCAGACTCCCCGAGGCGCTCGCTGCCCTTTGTTTTCATTCCATTACACGGCGGCCGTAGCTTCTCCGGTGTAATGTGACTGAATATCGTGAACTAGCGACGGTGAAGTTGCAGATATAATCCCGAAGGGAACTACAATTGTAAAATACACCCAGGAGGTATTTATGGAATACATACTGAAAGTAGTGAGGTCGGGTTGTTATCTAGGTCCTTAATATCATACGAGTGTTCTCAATGTTCTTTCTAAATTAGAAAAGAGACCCATAACCATTTTACACGAGACGTCCATAACACAACTTACAAAACTGTGTGTTAAATTAATTTATTGAAACTCGTAGTGCTATCAGAAAAAGCGTAATACTTACAGTTGGATGTAGTATTTGAATATAAATGTATACATAAAAAAGTTTCAAATTCAATGATATCTTCTCAGAGCTATTTACCTGAATGACTTTATCTATAATTTGTATGTTTAACCTCTGACATTACTCACGCGTGCAGCTGCCCCGGGCCTCTCGTAGCCTCTGACATCACTCACGCGTGCGGTTGGGTAATATGACCGCTCTGGCGTTTCAAATTGAATCGTTTATTTCAGAAACCCGTCAAAGGCCAAAATCTAAAACACGCATTAGTGGCGGATTATTTCTCCAAGACAATAGACACAGCGTTTAGCGCATATTTATATGAAAAATATAATTTTATCAACTGCTTTAAAGAATAAAAATACTATAAAATCAGAAAAAAATTGGGAGATTTTTTCACTTTTTTTTTGATATGAGGAAGAGTGTGGTCCTTTGACTGAGTTTCTGAAATGATACGATTCAATGTTTTGAAACGAAGGAGCGGAATCATTTATTAACGTCAAACAACACAGGATGGAGTGATGTGCAGAGTGTCTCTTACAGAGAGGCCGGGGCAGCTGCACTGGGCGAAGACAGCAGCGATAGCCGGAGAGTGGCCAGCGATGTGAGACGGAGGTGGGAGGGGGTGGAGGTTAAAGGTGGAGGGTTGTGAAGTGAAAGGGTTTAAAGGAGCGTGGGGGCCGGGGAGGAGAAGAGGGGGGTCGTGAAGGCAAATCCGAGGAGCTATATGAGATACAGAACCCCCGCCGTCAATTATTTACAGCTGCAATGTATCTCAGACTCTAAGCGGCCCCGCTCTTCGTATCGGGCTTTGTTCCCTTCGAGGGCGGCGCAAGGGCCTCGCAAGGGCAGTGCAAGCACACCGCCTCTACGGCCGTGGACGGAGGACAACAGAGGGGCAGCCAGTCGCAAAGCATTGCAGGAACTTAAAAGAAAGAAACGGCATAAATATCAGTCTGCACGAAAAAAACATTTCGTGGTCCTTCAAAATTAAGTGTTTCACTCGCTTTCAAAGCAACTAAATACTTTTTTTTGTAGATTTATATTAAACTAATTTTCAACACGATCGTGATATTAGAGAAACAATTATATAATAATAATTATGATAACTATTTCATTCATACTTTATCTGATAGGTATTTTACAGACCTTTGTCATTCAGATTTTACTATATTTTTCAATGAACATTCTTCCTTCGACGTAACAAAAATCATGTTCTTTTTCCTCCATTCGAAAACATTTATTGTTAAATTTTATATATTGGGTACATTCCGCAAGTCAGTGAATTGAATTGTGTGTCTTCCTTTATAGTTACCGTAGTACTGACTACTACTACTCTTTACGTATTTATAAACCTAACATGGTGTGTATTTTATTTCTAATTTGTGTAATTATAAATAAATATAAAACGTTTATATTTTCAAAAGTACATGTTGAAAAATCATGTTTCAATTTCTAATCCCTTTATTGAATTTTTAATGATATGTAATGTTAGCAAACCTCCATATTTCAAATGACTTCCATATAGTGTATCGAACGGCTGGTTAATTACTATAACGGCTACAGCTGTAATCCTCTTCCGCTTCATTGAGTTTCTGAGGAGAGGAGGGATAAAATGGTGGAATAGCCTATGACAGAAAAGCCATGGAGCAATGGCGATGAAATGAAAGCAATGGGAAAAGCCTGCATCGGAGAGAAATGACGTGCAACTTGCCAAGGAAAGTCGACGTTTTGTTGAGGGAAACGTTTTATTGACGCCATCGGTTCCACTCCACCTCATAATGGTACTTTTTTATAAACCTTTCAAGTAAAATAAAAATGGCAACGACTTACGTAAGATTAAGAAATGCCAAGGAATGATTGTAGAAGATATTTATTGCAGGAGACGAACAAATTTACACAACTGTTCGTGCTAAAGATTAACCGAGATGCAAGCGTGTGTTTTGACTAAAGAAAACAAAGATACACTGACAT